TAACTAGAAATCGACGCGATTAATCACCGTTTCCCCCACTGTTCATCTTGACAGGACTTGACGAGCTGCACATTCCCATTTGCGGCTGCGTCGCCCGAACAATTGGCCGATGGCACCACATCGGTTAGAATGAGCTTCGTGCCCGCGATGAAGAAGATGGCAGAGAATAGGAGGATCACCAGAGAACCTCCAATCCGCAGGACATTTTTGCATCCACGGTTTTCTTCATTCACATGAGTCATTTCAACTGGATAAAAGTACAGAAGAATCAGTCATGAAGGTTAAATTTCCATTATTAGGAAGTTTGAAGGGAGTAAAGAGGCTCTTGTCAGTTCCATGGAAGAAGAAGTGGAAATTTTGGCGGTCTTATCCCAGAGTTAAAACTGAGTCATATTTAAAATGTCTTCATTGGTTTAGTCGCTATCCGCTTTCAAAGTGAGATCATGAAAAGTGAATTGACGTCCCGGTGACACCTAACTGCGGAGGAAGAGGAGACATTCTTTGGTGGAGCAGTCGAGTTTGAGAGCATGTGCACACACAACGTCGATCAAGTTGTTTTGGTGTAAAGATGCTTTGGCTTTAACATTCTGTCTTGAAATTCATCGGTATGCAAATTACAACAGAGCTAAGAAGCACATGACAGCTTTCATCGACATCCTCCACACCCTTGTGTAGTAAATAAACCCAAATTCCCCCCCACCCCCCTCTTGCTAGGAGAAGAAACTGAAGGATTAAAAAGCAACCAATTCAGTGGAACAGATGCGAAAAATTACGGTTGTGTAGTTACTTACATCTACGGTCACAAGGAGTGAAGAGAGGACTGGAGTGTGTCCGGTTTCCCCATTTCTTACAAAAGATCCCAACTTTTTCACATTTTAATATGCAAAAGGCGTAAAAACTGCCGCCACTTCCAAAGACAACTAGGAGGCGGGGGCAAGATAATAAAAGACAGTTTAAAAAAAAGCAAAAAAAGGTACTTTGTGATTAGCTCAGCTGGGGAGGGGAAAAGTTTGCAAAGAAAAAGAAATCCTACCCTGCGGTGAACGTCTTCGGTATGAAATGAGATCTGTGGAAACCAGTCTCTTGTGCTGCGTTAACTCACTCCCTCCAAACTGCACGCGGAGCTGGAGCACCACATGATTGGCCTACAGCTGAATAATAGTGACGTTGAAGGTGTAATCCACCGAGCACTTGGGGTGGTTAAGTGGCTTTCTACTTCTCTTTAATAAGGTGTGCAACAGATAAAGTCAAACACGTCTTCCTTTACGTAAGCAACTTGCCTTGATCAGCAATATTCTGTCAACCTGAGCAATCATACCTGGAACACCGCCTGAACCCGGTTAAGTTGCAGATTGTGTGCCTTGCAACACCCCTTCGTGTAGGTCCCGTCATCCCTGTGATAGATCCGACACCATTCGACCAAAATGAGATCAGCCGAAAGGAAGGATTAACTTCTGTGGGCAATCCTAATGGTTCCTCAAGGGCATCACTTGCCTTGATTCTCCTCTGTAGTTCACTCCTAGATCGCATCGTCGCCTACATGAGTTGCCAGCAGATCTCCAGAATGTGACAAATTTTATTCCGTTTGTTTACAAGGTACAGAAATAATCAGCCTTTTTAATTTTTGCGAATCTAACCAATGGCCAGCCGAGTGATCAAACTGGACAATCTTTACGAAGCATCAGCATAAATAGTTTGACCCATTGGAACGGTGTGAAGATCTTTGACACAGGCCACCATTGATGAAACGCCCAAATCGACTTGAAGGCGTCATGAAACCACTTGTCAACATAAAGATGCCGCGAGGAGGATCCCCTGCAAGTGATGTAAATTACATCATCCTCAACCTTCTGTCCCTTCCTTATCCCTCCGTTCTTTCACATTAAGCTCCCATCGAAATTGTAGATTTTGAACGCCTACTTCTCCTGACTTGAACCTCTTGAGCGAGCGTGCTTGACGACTTGTTGAGAGCGATGTCTCATACCTCACTTTCTGGTGTCAATTGCGCAAGCCTTCTCAGTTGTCCACAATTCAGCCTCCACGTGGGTGACAAGAGACTGCTCTTACCGTTTGCAACACCAATGTCCTAGCCAATCCCACCACTGGATTCGAATGCATTTTGACGTTTTCAGAGGCAAATGGGATTCTATGTCAGTGTCAATTCGGTGCGCTACGTTGGACAACTCTCGCATACAATAGAAAATACAGTTATTTCAAGATACCTTTTCAATGATGTCTTAGTTTTTAATGGGTCGGATAGTTACCATGATCATGTGAATCACTGAAACACTGAAAGATCAGAGCATGGGGACTGTTGACACCACTTGACAATTCCGGCATCTCGGTCATTAATAAACGGGGAAGGGGGGGGGGAGGAAATTGCACTGAACGTACCTCCTTCGACTGACAAAAGAATTGCCCATCTTAACGCCATGAAGAGGAGCGGTTGTGAAATTTGGCAATCATGAAGAATTTCCCATCAAGTTGCTCCAAATACTCATGAATCCTAAGCGGAGAGCTTACACTTCGATGGAGCCACTCGCCCACGGCGAGTACGCTGAGTTTCTCTGGTCATAAAAATTACGATAATGACCTCCTAGGTCCTCCTCCCACCGACTGTCACACTCGAGGATGCTGTCAAAGATGCCAAAAGGTATGCTCTAAAAGACTGATTGGGCGCTTCTTGGGGAAGAACAACAACATACGAAATGTACAGAAAAAGGAAATTTACAGGAATGTTGGGCGAAGTTAATTTAGTGCGATAAAAATGAAGGTAGTGAAAGACAGTAAAAGTGGTGCTTTCTTTTTACTACTAAAAGACGACATTTCAAATCAGTTGCGGGGCCTCACGACCCTCCAGATAAACTCGCGGTTCGTCCAATGACCGATGGCTGCTATTTAGACGCTGTCCGGCTAGACAAAAAGGCAGAAAAAGAAGACATGAAAATTCGACTATATTTGATCGCACTGTTGAACCTAGAAATTCCGTGGATCCGAAATTAGCTCGTTAGAAGCAGTGAGGGGAAAATGCTATCCTTAGAGGGAGGGAATGGAGTTGAGTTGAGAAGCGGATGCGCAAGACCAGTGGCTTTAAACCTTCAAAATGGAAGAGAAGTCAGGAGATGCATCCATTGTTTGAGCTGTTTGGCCACCATTATATCCATACCTCCAGCTACTGATTCACGAGGTTATTTGGTTATCAAACCATTTGGCAACTCATCCATCTCACCACACACTGATCCACTCATTCAGCCAAGCGCGCATTCATCTAACCAACTATACATCCAAACAGCTGTCCGGCTAATCACTCCTCCAGTTCTCCATCTAACCAACCATCCGTCCACCCACGCATCCACTCCTACCCTTGGACAATGTCCTTTCAACACGGGTGGTGGAATAAATCACTCCGTGCCATGAGATCTAGGCGTGTTGCATGCAAATAATCCATCAAAAAAGCAGTTTTTTCCGAAGCCAAAAAAGGTATTCATTCATCTTTAAGACAGAATTTCTTAATTAATATAAAAAGATGTTAGGGATGCAAACAGAGGAAAAAGCGCGATCAGGTTAGTGCACAAAAACAAGTGGGTTCGGAATGTTACTTATTTCCCATCAGTAGTAGCTGCCGCCTCCTTCAACTGTGAGAAAGGAGATAATTGCACCTTCATAGGCGCACAAAACAGAGGAGATAATGAAAGTAAATAATTTAAGATGTAAAACTTCCGTAGTAGGGCATACAAAAGAAACGATCCCGTGGGTTAGAAGTTGAAGAAGAGAGATTTGGTGAATCTAGGAGCAAACAAACTCGACTGACCTCAATCGAACCTCGCGTTAATCACGCACACTGACCATCGCCAAGAACTAAGGGTGTGAATCAAAACCACCCATGTTTGTGCAGCTAGAAGGTACCCGTGTGCAGTTTTAACCTTCTCACAGAGACAAAAAAGCTGTGATGCCGTTCATCCACTTACTAGCACAAATGACAGGCGCAGATTCAAACTCACATTCATATTTATCCACGTCGAGATTGTTTCTAGGGCGAGGTTTGGGAATCCGTTCTTCCGGAATATTGGGCAATCGATCAATGCTGGGGGCTTCAGAAAGGGTTCCTTGGGCGGGAAGGACACCGGAATCACGAAGCGATTTCTTCAGTTCTTGAGAAAGTCGCAACTGATAGTCCACCGACTTCAGATGAGCGGCTGCGCGGTGCAGGATTGAAGCACTGTAGGTGGCTACATTGTAGGCAAGAAAAGGGGATTAACGCTTTCGCTACCAGCCTCATATATGGGTGGTCTACCAATCTCCTTCTCCAATTCCAGAGTGACAAATACAATGTTTTCTTTACCAGTATTTGATAAAAAAGGGAACCGTACCGTGTCACAAGCGGCATGGCCGATTCCAAGGCAATAAAGTGGGCTAGCCGTAGGATAATGTCCTTGGTGTGAAGATAGCTACGATTTCGTGGGTTTTGGAATGTTACAAGTCAATCTAACAAGAGATAAGTAACAGGTAGTGCCAAAGTAAAGCCCTTAAAGCCTTGAGTTATAGCCTTGGACGGTTAAGGCGAACCTGTTTTGGGATCCGAGGAGTGCACCAGTTCGGTAATCCTCGCGATTGCGCCTTCGTGTTCGATGGCCTGACTACCTTCAGGACAGACGGAGATTTCATTCAACAAACTCAGTGATGCCCGCTGGAGAAATTCCGAGCTGGTGTACAAATACTGGAAGATTAATTGACAAAAGTGAGCGATTGGGTGAGTCGAAGCATTGACCGACCAAAGAGGACCTGACTGCTAACGCACAGACCTGGACAAAACTGGCCAAAACGCCTTCAGGAGCTTCAATGATGGTCATTCGGGCAGATGAATGCTGCGCCATTGACTGTAACGCAACAAGAAGCAATTCAACAAGGTCCTCCAGTCTCACACCCTCGATGTAGCTCAATTCGGAAGCGTCTGAGAGAATGGAGGAGCGCTGCCGAACGGCATCTTCATAGGCGCTTGTGGCGCGTTGAAACAGCGCGATTAGGCTATCCGTAGTCCCAAGCTGACTGAAAAAATACTACCGTTTGAAGATACTGCTCGTTAACTTCGGTGCTAGGGCATAGGCTGATGTGTGGAGGGCATATCTGAAAGCAATTTTGAATTCTACGAATGGATAAGAGGATAAATTGAGAAAGTATGAGGAGACCAGGAATACCTTGAGAAGGATATTCAAAATTGTCTATTTAAAAGTCTGCTTTGAACTTACTGCAAATTACGTCGGCAGGATTTTGACAACCCAAGATTACGAATGAGACCAATGACAGCTTTGACGAGGGGTAGTTGTTCTGGAAATTGGTCGGATTTTAAAAGACCCGCAATAGTCTTCAGTACACCAAAATCGTGGATCTAAAACGAAGGCGTTGGGAGAAAATGTATCTTTATTTCCCAATCCAATGGGGTAAACGGTCCGTTTTTGATCTTGAGACAGTCAAATACAAAATCACCTGTCGTACAGCAAGCGAGGCGTGTTCATTCTGATGAGTTAGATTACGCAGTGCCGAACAGATCGGTTCAGTTACTTCATCACGATTTAAGAAGGCCGTCAGGCAGCCACACAGTGCTCGAACACCATCTACAATATCCACAAAGGAAAACTGAACAGCGCTTTGGCTAAAATAAACCAAATACATGCATTTTTTAATCAAACTCACCGATCTCGATGAGAGTAGCTTTGTTTGTGGCATTCTGACAAGTGAGGTTACACAAACATCCAATCGAACAAATTGAAATATGCTCAACAGATGAGGAGACCAGGGGTACAAGAAGTTTTAGAAGACCTCTAGTATCCGTCAAATGAAAGGCTTGGTCACTCAGATTTCGCAGA